ATCAAATATTGGCGTTCGTTATTGACCTTCACTATAAAAGCAACCAAAGAAGAAAGAAAATAATTTCTGGTAAGTTCAATTTGAACTATTTAATCCTTGCCATAATATCTTAGTTCCCATCGATATTTCAAATAATCAACTGCTTTTAAATCTACCCTGGCAAGGATTTAGTGTTTAAAACCATATGCAATGTTGTAAAATCCACTTTCCGGGATCATCTTGCCCATGCAAAAGTTGGATAATATGGATTTTTGGATTCCAGACAGCCCGCCAGCCATTCAGAGCAAATTAGACTTCCAAGCTTGCGTTGAAAGCGAGACGTTCACTTGCGAAACTCCCAGACTTGGGAGAAGAGGGAGAGGATATTGTTGCAAATGAGCCCTTATTGACTGAGTTAAACTGTTTATATCATCACTACGCTCGAGTTCGCGCTTTTTGTTTTTTATTAATCAGTTGGAAATATAACTTCTAGGGAAAGCGTCAAAGTCTCTGTGAATCAATACAGAAGTAAGGAACTTAGATCCCACTAGTGAATGATGTCGTATAAAGCATATTGTGTCTTATGGTAAACTGCGAGTTTTGCTAGAAAATGACAAGCATAAGGCAATTTTTAGAAAAAAAAGGAGAAAAAAAGTAGAAGTGCTTAATTCGAAAAGCACTTTAAGGAAATATTTCTTGAGTTAATTGTTAAATAATTTTGCTAGGTTTACATAATCACAGATTTCATTTCACACATAGTGCAATTGCAGTTTGTGGAAATGTGTACACTGTAAGGTTTCGGTTCATGGTTGTGTGCTCAATCAGCAATTTTTGAATTCTATAGTAGTACAGTGGCAATTTTCAATTTTTGGATGATTATGGACCTTGTGGTGAAGGGCAAGGCAGCAATTAAAATTGTAGGGCTCTTGTTTCACTAGAAAATCATTTTGGACAAAGAAAACAGAAATTTCTTCATCAGTCTTTGAATCTCAAAAAACGGTGAAATTCTTAAGTCAGATCTTAGAAGTTGAGAAGTCGCTAGTCTGTTTACTAGAGTTGAAGAATTCTTCCACATACTCGTTGACTTTCTCGGGTTCATCTTGCATAACCCAATGTGAGGCGCCTTCGATGAATTTCAATTGACCATTACGGCAAAACTAAAACGAGAAAGAGTATGAAGGAGCAAAATTGCCTTCTGTCCTAAGTAATAATGCTGAAATTTGAATGAAAATTGTAAATTTTGGGAAATTTTACCTCTAAGCTTAGAGTAGCTCCTTCCTTGATGAGAAATTGGTCCTGATCTCCCCAGATGATAAGGGTGGGAGGCTATAAAGGGAAAAATTTCAAGAAGAATACCTTTCGATACGATTGTCTTTGCTTTTTTATACAAAACATCCTACTTTGCAAATGTCTTGCCCTGGCTTTCTTGGGGTTCGTTTTCGGATATTGCGGTAATAGTTTATAGGGCCAGTAAGAGCATCTAAACATAAGATTATGTTATAACTCGGGAAAATGGTAATTCCCAACTTCTTACCTTTCTGACTAAATACATGCTTCCAAGCTTCCAGATCTTCGTCGGTGAAATTCTCTTGATTTCGAATTCCTGCTTTTTTACCACGAAAACTCAGATCGAACATATGAAAATCGCGACTTTGAACTACTAATTCGGGAATTGTTGGTGTTTGGAACATGAAGATGTACCTAAAATAGAGCTTGAGTTGAGCGAAGAATATTTGAAGGGAAAATATACCAGCTTTTCATCCTTTGCTCAGAATTTGTCATCATCAGTCTTTGCATAGCACTTGGATGAGGAACA